ATGCCAAACCTTTCGTGAAGGGTTTGTGGGACGGGACTTTAACCTGCAGCTCTCACAGCTTTCAGTACAGTGGATGAGCAGAGCGGTTCTCAGATGAGGTGTGAGGGATTTTCTGGAATGAAGCAGAGAGGAAGTCAGGTAGACAAATAATTGGTATCAACTATAGCTATTATTGTTGTCACTCACCATCTTTACCAGCATCATTATAGAATTTAATTTCTTTACTATCAAGCATAGACTAATACAGTCTGAGAATCCTCATTACATTTTAATGTCACTGATAGAAAAATTTTAAACTGAAGTTACAAAATAAAAAAGACTAAATGTTAGTAGAGTTCAGAAGTCTGTGGCCATCTCTGTTCCTGGGGGTGCAGGTGAGAGGGGACATGTTTTGTGATCTGTACCCTCCGAGCCAAAATAGTAGTCACCAGCATCAAAATAGTAGTCAGTTTGGGAATAGAACCCAGTAGTTTATTGGACCTCTAACATATGAAAAAAGCCATCATCTTTTAGATGTTACATATGTGATTCTGAACTCCTGCCAATGAATGGATCAGACCACCAACTCTATATTCTAATACTTGAACTAAGTTGTTATAATAATAACAACTTAATGGTCAAATGCAGTTATTATCATTAAGATCTCACAAGTGTTAACAAATTCATTTAAGTTGTAGGTGTTTACAAGTGAATGTCTTATTCATTTTTGTAAAAACTTCGAAATCAAATTTTGGAGCTTTTTTATTCTCTGTAAATAATACGTGTTATATTTTTGACTAGTAAATATTATTTTTCTCTGAAGTAGGTCAAAAGTTATGCCAAAATAAAGAAACTGTGCTGATATTTTGTTTATATTTTCTTAGAGTTATCTTTAAAAAGACTTTCACAGTGATTATTCATATTTTCCTCTCTCTTCTCATATGGTTTCCATTTAGGTACAATTATGTTGCAAAAAAGTCTTTTAATTTTTTGTTTATTTTTTATTTGAGGTATGTTTTGCTCATAACAACAAGCAACTCTCGCCTCTTCCCTGTAACTCTAGGAGTCATATTAATCAGAAGCATAGAATACAGCTGGGATTTTGAGCCAGTCATTAAGCTAAGATTTCTTCATATGATTGGAGGGTAACCATAATGTTTGAAGACTGGAACTAGGAATAGTGGATGTTGGAATTTAAAGAAAACTGACATTTGACTAGCAGAACCAACTAGGCTATTGATACTGAGACCCCAGTTTCCTCTGAAGTTACCACTGTTGCTCTATGGGCGTAGAAGTGGAAGGGGCAATGCTCCTTTCACCTATGTGTGTGGTTCTCATGATATAGAGAACCCCAAAGACATCAGGAGTATAGAGGAAAGATACATTTTAATGAACTCACAAGGTTTATGAAGTCAGAACAGAAAAGGTCAGATTAAGTTCATTCATGTTTTTAATATAAAGTTTGAAGTAATAATTTTAATAATTCCTAGAACATTGTTAGGT